AGCAGCAGTGCAGTTCACTGGCTTGCAGATTCCTGTTATTTCCACACACATTTTGCCTACTGTCTAGAAAGAGAAAGGTAATGAGCTGCATTCACGGTGGTTCTTTATATTTTTGTATAAAATACACATTAAGATGCTTACTTTGCATAATAAGGTTATACACTTCCCACCAGAGTGTAGGAAGAATTTTCTTGGCATTATAGCTAGCTTTACCAGGAAGAGTGAGGTGTGGACACCATCATTTATTCACATGTTATATCCCAGTCAAAGCAAGGTAGGTGATTTCTGTTTTTGTTTCTGTTTTTGTTTTTTCCCCTGCTTGCACCAAGATTTGCTCAGCAGCAAACAGGTGGGATCTGATCTCAACTGGAAGCCTACTAGAGTTAACAATAATGTCATAGATATTAATTTGCAGGAGATTTCCTTCAGACACACGCCCTTTTTATATGTTTTTCTAATTATGAATTTTGTTTTTATTATAAAATAACTAGAAGGAAAAGTGCAGTTGAATGGAATTAGATACACTGTGTCAATTATGTCTCCTTGGATTTGCATTGGTTTCAAGACTTTACAGAATGCCTGAGCCATGACATGTCACTGCACAGTAGATTAGTTTGGTCCCAGAGATTGGCCAAGGTATTTCCAGCTATGCAGATAAGCTGGACAGAATATAACCTCTGTCACATTTCACCTCAAAAGTTAGAGCTTCATCTACTACAGACATGCAGACACTTGTTTTTACTTGTTTTTACCTTCCTTCAGTCTTTGTGCTCACCTGGAGACAGGACACTTATGAGACTATCCACTGAGGGGTATAAGTAGCCTGAAAATAGTACAGCAGCAGTTCTGGGAGCACTGAAGCTGAGTAGCTGCTTGCCAAAAGCCTTGTGTCAGAAACAATTTAAATGAAAGGTAGATGGGAAAGGATGCACTAAACTAACTGGAAAAATACAAGGTAATAGGGAAAACATGGGATAAAGTGATACTCAAGTGTTTGAAGATTTAAAGAATGACTGAAGACTGAATAAATGACACCTTTGTAGATCCCACTGATAGATTCTTTACCAAAGGACCTGCCGTACAATTATTTCAGAAACCTGACAGATGAGTTGTATGTGTAATTATAAATAAACTGATCAGTGCATAAAAACACTCAGGAGGATATTTATTCATTTAAAATCCTTGGAAAAAACACATAGATAGAATAATTTTTGTAAGGAATATTTATTTTCAGTTCCATTTAAACAACCCACTTTTGTTACACATACTAAAATCTTTAGGAAACATTCTATGAAATTTCAGGATTATAACCACAGGAATGAATTAAGTGTATTTCAGTTCTGGAGACTAAAATACAGAATATGTTTGCTTCATTCTGCATTTTATTAGGTTGCTGCCTTTTGGTATGCTTTACATTAAAAATACATGACTGACACTCTTTATACCAGTAAGCCTTTTTATTGAAAAAAAATATTATTGCATTAAACTACATTCCCAGGGATTCCTTGAATAAGCTAAAACAAAAGTCCCATTGCATGTACAATAGTGCAATTCACTTAGCTACTGTATAATATAAAACACTTTATACAGAGAATACAAAACAAAATTACTAGTTTACATATTATACTATTCAGTTTTAAATATAAACTTGACATTTTAAAATCAATCTGATCAAATGGCATTTTTATGCAAATTTGCACAATAAATATACATGTTGAATGTATTCCAGAAATGCATCAGATTAAAAAAAAAGTCCAAACAACAACAACAAAAAAGTTTATTATGGTGTGACTCTGGAAATTTCTTTTATTGGAATTTTAAGGTGTGGATGACCTCTTTCCTTAGATTATATATCAAGAATATACAATCAGGCTAAAATAGATTATTAAATTGGTGTGTATATATCACTGCCATAAGGATACTATAACTCTTTTGAAAATCTCTTTAAATAAAATCAAAATTGTAGCACGGCTCCATACATCAGGCTCAATAATATTTTAATAATTATAATGACACATATTTAAAGTACTTTACTGATGAAAAAAATATGGCAGCAATTAGAGAAAATATATAATTTCAGCTGTGCTGATAGCTTTATTACATTTCTCCAAGAAAATCCCTCCTGTGCACTAAGAATGGTATTGGACATTGCCTGTGTTTGGTAATCAGTGATTACTGTTTTTCTGTTGTGCTCTTTCATTTCTTAATCTCTCTTTTTCTCCCCATTAATACATCTCAAAATTCTAATTCCCATTGTTCCAAGAATTAAAATTAATCTTCATTGCCAATTTGCCCTACTGTGTTGGTATGTACAATGATTCATAGGAATCCTATGGTTTCATTTATTCTGGAGTCCCATTGTATGGTGCATACATTAAGGGAAACAAATACATCTGTTTTCCATAAATGATCTATGTAGTAGGATATGGTCAAGTTTGAATTAGTCAGCTTTCTTGCCACAGAAATTTCTATAGTATTAACATTGTCTGGTAGAAGTGGGAATACAAAATATGTGTACACACATTAAAGATGAGGTTAGCCCATCATTCCTTCAGTTCCATATTTTTCCTTTGATGTTACCTACCTAGGGTACAAATGAACTCTTGCACACAGTGAGAACAGCTGGGTTTACTTCAACAGAGATGAAACTGGGCCCGTAAATTTAAAAGCTTGTGGGGCTGGGAATGCACCTTCTATGCTGATATTATCCCTGGACTGTGGGTGATGGCCACACAGCCCAGTCAGCCCCTCCTGGGGCACAGCTTGCCCTGCTACTTTAGATGTCCAATTCAGAATGTTTCTACAGAGTTATGACTAATGTGTCCAAGTGGTCCATCCAAGCATGTAATAATTTTCAGAGGTGTTAAGTCAGAGTAAGTGAAATATGTTTGATTCTTAGAAAATAAAGTATCAGAAGTACAGAAATTATATGTAAATTGAGATCTTATTTTGGGAAAATTTTCAGCCAAAATTGAAAGGAAGAATTGTTAAACTCTGGAAACTTTTCATTCTACATTTTTCCCAAATAAAATTTTTTACTTACTTAATACTGAAGCAATAATTTTAATTAAAGAATTACTCTACAAATTGAATTAGAAAAATAAATATAATTTATATGCCACTTACACACAGATAAGTAACACCAAAATGACATGAATCCGTTTTGTTAATGAGACTAAAGAGTAAATTGGGAATCAAACCAAAATATGAGGGTGCTGGTGCCACCAACTTTTTTCAACATAAAAATGTTTTGCTTGTGCATAGTCTCCATAATTTTTTTCTGATTTTTTTTTCAATAGCTAGACCATCAAATGTTTAAAGCTACTTTGAAAATACAAAACTAGCAGTCACAACTTGTAAAGTAACTTGAAAAGTTTGGTGTATTACCAGTTTATGCTGAAGAAGCTCCAGAAAGACAGAAATTAAAACAATTCCATTTTATTGCAATGGATTGATGTATTTTGATTAAAACTAAGAAAATTGGTTCTGTTGTATTTTAAAGACATTACTTATTTGCAATTCAATTTTGCAGTTTCTTCAGGTAGCGGAATATAATGGAATAAAATTCCTCCCAAAGATTTTCAATGTGTTTTATATTGATTCTGAAATACACATTTTGTGCATTACCTTATTGCAAATGAATTGAAATTATTTCAAATGCTTTTAATCCAAACAAACAGGTACTGTGTGTTGGATACTTCATGGTCCAATTTTTTCGGGGAAGCATGCCTGCATTCTAGCCATAATTATGAACTAATTTCATGCTAAATATCTTGTGTTCAGTTAGAAGCATTATAAAAAATGTCAAACTATGGCATTCAAAGAGATGCTGAAGCCTTCACCTATTTCCAGATACAAGTTATTACAAACAATTTCAGCCACACATTACTCTGAAGGTTGGATACATGCATTCAAACATTGTGGATTCATAATTTCAATTTAGTTGTTGAGAGTTTGGGAAGCCATGCGAGAATCTTGACATATTTGTTTAGATTCAATAAACTTTTAAATGCTGAATACTTGAACAAGTTTTTCTCCGAGTCTCAACCAGTAGAGCCAGTTTTTGATCAGAATTTTACTTCTACATCTTTATGAATATCTGCATGATTTTATAGGACCTGCCAATTTTTTCTGTTGTTTGTGAAAGGGATGAAATATATTTACACATTCTTTGGGAAAGACTCTTCCACACATCAGAGCTCTGTTTGGTGGGAAAAAGGTGTTGCAGTTTTGGCCAAGTACCTCTGAGGTTCAGAGCCAGCACTGGCTGCTTGGCAGTTCTGGGCTGGTGCGGCTCTCTCTGACATGCCCTGTGACCCAGCAGTGCCAAAGAACTTGGCTTCTCAGTGAGCCTTCTTGGATACTTGGCTCAGGGAGAAAAGAGGCAGCCTGCTTCTGCCAGCACAGAGCTCCTGGTGCTAAGGGAATGCTTTGTTATGTACCTGTGGCCTGACTGCAGTCCCTTTACACTGTCCAAGCAACACATGCAGGGATGAAATCACTAAAGTATCTTCAAGATATTGTTGTGATCCTCATCGTCTAGTGTCAACTCATCACCCCTCCCTCTGAGCCTCCCCAGTTTACTTTGGCCAGGAGACAGCCCCGGGGTCTGCTGATCCCAGATACCTTAATTTTTCCTCAGTCTAAAATTCCTTAACCAAACCAGGCACTGTTTCATATACAAACTCAGAAAATCAAATCTTTGAGGTGTGTCAAGTTTGCTCAACCTTAAACTGTGCTACTTTGGATCCCCCATCAGTGTCAATATTGATCCCATTTTGTCTGGGTGTTGTGGTTCCTTTCCTACTGACAGTCATAGACTTCACTTTAAGCTATTCTTTTAAAACATTCTGTAGAATGACACTGGCCACCCATCCTTCTTGTGATAGCATCACGAAATGCTTGAAAACAGCTTTTCCTCAGTGATAAAAGAATGAAATCGACATTCATATGCTGTCAGCCAGATTGTGGACTTTAAAATCTTTACTGTTGTGCTCTAAGCAAAACAGTCGATTTCCCCTCAGACGTGATTGAATGCTGAATGTTTTATTTTATTTTAATTTGGGGTTGGAGCCATGATGAAATTATTTGGGCTAGTTTAAGTAGCTAGAAACACTGAAAATGTCTTTTGCTGTAGGTAACTGTTGGGTCTGGATAGAACAAGAATAGTGATGTGGCTCTTGTCCTTGGAATAAGGGATGCACTAAGTGATTTGGGTGTATAGCAGAAGGTGTGGCTGTGTTCAGGTGTGGTGTAAATAGGGCTGGGATATATGCAGCATGTGGCAGTGCAGGGAAGGTCAGGGGGGAAGGGTGGAGGGGAGTGGCAGAAACCAAGTGCAGTGGGTGTCCTGTCAGCAAGGCAGGGTGGGAGGGAATAAGGGCTGGCGCTAATGGGGAAAGTGATATGGGGGCAAAATGTGCCTGAGAGAGGGGGTGGAGGGGTGCCAGGGAGAGATGGCTGCCGTGGGGGTGCACAGATGCTGAGACAGCAAAGTGTTGCAGCAGTGTGTGGTGGATGGTGGTGACAGTAGCCTGCTGCTGAACAGGGAGGGCAGGAACTGCTGGTGTTGCAGAGAAGGCAGCTGGTCCTGGGGCAGGCAAAACTTTCAGATGTTTTGCCAGAAGTTGTTTCTGCATGTGCTGCTGGGCTTGCAGCTGCAGCAGCCTGTATTTGTCCACTTCTTCTGGTGTAAATGTGATAGGCTGCTGTGTTACAGGAGGGGAGGTGGATTTACTGTACACTTCCAGGTCATGTAGTGTATCACCATACTTCTGCATAGCATTGTCACAAAAAGAGTCTGAACTGCCTTCTGCCTGGTTAAAGTCCATGTTTACGTCATGTAGTTCTTCTTTGGTCTCTGTTGAATTAGCAACAGAATATCTATTAGAGGGAAAAGCACCAGGGAAATCATTTGGTACTGGATCACAGCTTTGTAGAAAGGGCTGCACTTCACTAATGAAGAAATTGGTTTGTTCCTTTATTGCTGTGTTCCTTTGTATGCTTGGACTCTGATAGCCTGTTTCAATTTGAATTATGTCTTTAAGAGCACAATGATCATAATCAGTTCCAGGTGAAAGAGTAACATTTGTTATCTCTGATGCTCCAGTATTGTTTTTCTTCACACTGTTTTTCAACAAACTGATTTCATTATGTCTCATATAATTTTTACCTTTGCTTAGCACTTTGTCTGGCAAAGGTAACATTGCAGTGTCATCTCCTGATGATGAAAACTGAAGAGCAAAGTGACTTTGTGAGTGATCCTTTAATTCTATCCCAGTACTGACTGAAAATCTCTCTGGATCATGCATTTGTTCCTGGGTTTTCTTAGACTGCACTCTTTCTAAAAGCAACTTGGCTGTCATTGACTTTCTTTTTCCACAGATGTATTTTGCCAGGTTTTTGGAAGAGCAGGTGGCAAAGTTTTTACGCTGACTGCTCACATTCAGAGAGTTGGAATGTGTAGTTTCAGCTTTTCCTGGTTCAGCATTAGAACCTCTCTCACCATCCTCTTTTGTTTTGTTGTCACAGTTGTCAGTCTCTTTTGAGACAGATCCTGAACTGCTGCATCTTGATATTCTGCTGCTAGATGATCTTTCACTGCTTCTTGAATCACTAGTGGAACCACTTTTGTGTTTGTGGCAGCTTCTACTCCTGCTAAACATTTTGCCAAAATGCTGATGTCTACATCTGCTGTGTTTAGACCTGTCACTGATTTGTAAAAGTTTATGTCTTGAACATCTTCGATATTTAATTGTGCCACTCTGAATACAGCTTCTAGTTCTGTGACTTCTGCTATGACAAAGATAATCCTCATCTGTATCATCTGAAGTGAAAATACACTTGTGCTTTCTGTGTTTGTGCCTTTCATCTCTCTTGCTTTTTCTTTTACAACAACAAAGCAAATTATTTCTTCTGTGATTGTTTGATGTGGGATTCATGTAGCTCATGTAGCTACTCATACTGCTAACTGAAGTGTCAGAATAGCTGGAATGTCTGCCAGATGAGGACTTTTGAGGAGATGGGAGCCTCCAACATCTTGTGTAACTTCCACATCCTTCATTATCTGAATACCTGATGTTTGAACTGGATTTACAACTAAAGAAACTTCCATTAGAATCTTTTCCACTGTCACTTATGTCACTGCTGCAGCGGACCACATCTTGAAGGGATCTGGAGTAATTTTTGTTCTCATATTTTTCTTCAGAATAAATTAAATGACATTTTTCAGAGTTAGAGTTTTTAATCCGAGACATAAAAGCAGAAAAGGAAATGCTTTCGTTTCTAATATTCTGAGTTTTTCTTTCACAGTCATGGAAATGATTCTTTAAAGGTCTCCTCAGTGATGTTGTATAAAGACTTTTTTCTGTCACATAATCCTTTTGTGAGACATCAAGGTAAGCAGGCACTTTGGGTATATTTTCATTCAAATAGTCTGCAATGCATTTCTGACCATTTTCATTCATTTCTTTCCCTATGTCTGACTCAGCTTTTTGCTTGGCCTTTCTTGGATTTAGGGAACCTTTCATCTTCTTTGGTTTCAACAACTGATTATCTTGTTCATTTGACATTTGCTTGTGTTTTATTAAACCTGAGGGTTCATATTCATCTGCAGTCTTATTTTTAGAGAGCTCTTTACAGCTTGCTTTGTTTATTTCATTCTGTTTACCCTCCCTGTGATTTAAAGAGAGTCTGAAGTCAAAATACAATGGATTACAGCCATATGAAATACAGGGCTCAGTTTTTGTAAACAAAAGTAATTCTGTGGGCCACTGCAGAGCAGTGGTGCCATCTTTGCTCACTACATGGAGGAAAGGCAATGCCTGGGGCTTAACTTCTTTAACCATGGTCTCCTTTTCAAGTGTTTCCGTATTTCCATCTGTGGTTTTGGTAATCTCCAAAGATCTTTCTCTTTTTATCACTCCAGGACTCTCATTAATGTTGCTTGAACAGGTCAGCTCAGGTGCTGGCTGTCGTGGGAGCTCAGACAACTGGGCAGGCAGGTGGGCATTACTGGGCTTGTAGGTGTTCAGCTGTGTACAAAAATTGCTAGCTTGGCATGGAGATGAGATGGGAGTTTCTGAGAATTGCTGAGATTCATTCAGTTTGCTCTCTTTCTCTGTTTCTCTCAGTGAAGCAGAAGAATTTGGAAGTGGTATTTTGACTTGAGAAAATGAAGGATTATCTCTGAATTTTTCTTCTGATTCCTTATCATTACTTTTATCATTTTCCTTTAGCATTTTAGGTTTTGTAGCTACATGACTTGATGCACTGTTATCCAAATCCATTTGGTCTTGTGTAATAGGTGACTCTTTATCCAAACTTGCTTTCAGTTGCTCCTCCAAAAGTGTGACAGAATGACAGCCCTCAATAGTTTGCTTTTTTTTATGTTTGGGGGACTCACTATAATCATTTCCTTCCTCACAGTTTTCACTGAAGACAGATGCTGAGGACTCAAGCTTCAAAGGGACCTTTTTAGAGAACGAAAATGACACTCCTGCCCTTTGAGAGGTATTGTTGCTGTATGGGAACATTTGTGAGACGTGATTTCCAAGTGCATGGTGTCTTTCAGCTGGGGGGTGGTGCCTGCTTATAATAAGTTGCTGTTTCTCTAGTATGCTTTTGGAGAAGCCTTGTCCTTCACTTGTGATGGTTCTTTGAGAATTAGCTGTGAACTTGCTGCCCTTGTACAGGAAAATACCATCTGGTGATTGCTGCTTTTCCAGGACTAATCGGGGGGCTTTAAGCAATGGTCCACTCCCAGTGATGCTTTAAGGTAAAAAAATAAAGGAAAAAAGAAATCTGCATTAAGTAACCAAGTTATGACAGAGCTTGGATTTGACAATGTCTGTCTGGTGAAGGAGGGTGTCACTCAATTTTTTACAAGGCAAAGCTAAGTTTCAACAAAGTTCAGTTTATCATCAGTTTGGAATTTTGTATGGGCAAGACAATCTTTACACATAGACAATTACATGTTTTTATGTCAGCACATGGATGTTCTTTTTTAGTTATGCCCATGTACAAGCAGAACAAATATTGGTTTTACTCCAAATTTATATTTAGGAGAACCTAGTCTGTGGTAAGTCTTGCTTTTCTGAAAGGCCTCTGCAAAGGAAATTGTGCTATGTTCAAAAAGAGATGCTTCCACCTGGAACATCTGCAAAATCAAACTCTAGAAGAAAAAGAAAAACATTCTGCTTGCTTAGGGAAGAATGTATTTGTCTGACTTTTTAAAGAGTAGATTCTTATTTTATTCCACAATAAATGATTTTGCAAAATATTCAAAGAGATATTAATACTAAAACTGTCAGCAAACATTAAGGGTGAAGAAAATCACAACTTCACTGGTTTCATTATCAACCATGATTTGACTTTGCCACATTTTCTTTGTCTTATTTCCATTGATTACATTATTTCTCTTTTCAAAATGTCTCAGATTTCAAATATTATTTAGTTTTCTTGTAATTAAAGAAAAAAATTACCTATTCTAGGGCCTTAGTAAAAATGGCAAACCACTGATTTTTGAAACAGATAACTGAGACTGAAATGACTGTAGCCATTTTCCATTAAAAATGTGACATATATGGCCACCATAAAAGTGTTTTTCCAATATATATTTTAAACACACATTTCATTAGACTAATTATCTACATTTGCTATCAGTGTCTAGTTTATTTTTGTGTTGTTAGTGTGCTGTGGTACTCTAACAAGAAAAAAATAAACTAGAACCAGATTAAATAGAGAGTTTGATAAAAATTATAAAACATTTTAATTAAATGTAAATAAATTAAAACTTTCAGATCTACATATAAGCTGTCTATAATTGGTAGTCATGTTTTATAAATGCTGTAAAAATACCTTGATCTTCAGCAACAGGAAAAACAGAAAGATTCCCTGGAGTAGGGTCAACCCATAATGTGAGAATATGCATGCATTTCAGAGAATATATTTGCCTTTGCCAGAAATTTGGCATCAGGAGATACAAATTAACCCAAATTTGTACATCAGGAATAATTATCTCTTGGAGAAGGCATATAAAGAAAACCTTTTTAAAGTCTTGGAATAGCAAAATAAAAATTTTCTGTCCCCAAGATTAACAATAATTTTCTTCTCAAATTGAATTAGCTTGTTGTAAGGAACTGTGTTGGAACCTGAGAGACAGTACTCGGGGATGGTAACAATTATATGAGTGTGGACTTCTGCTTACAAAGGCTGACATTCTGTCTTTCCTGAGCAATTGGGGGTGCTACCCCTCCACCAAAATCCCGGCACTCAGCCTCCCCTGAGCCTGTTAGTGGTTGCAGGGAGGAATAGCAAGCTCTTTCCTTCCACACTCTGTGCAAAATGTTATGGACTCCTGGCTCTTTCTAAAAGAAAACCTGCTCTTTCCCTCCCAGATTTCTTCTGGCTTTCCTATTATCACTGATGTTATTGCTCTATCTGAGGCTACATCTTCAAGTGCGTGGGCATAAAGGAAGCTTCCCACAGGCAGTTACATTTGTTTCAGCAGATTTGTATGAAAATGGAGTCGCACTCATAAAAGTGATATATTAGCACTAAACTGTTATATTTCAGCAGATTGCTCAAAAGCAATTACATAGGCCAAAATGAGTTTGTAATAAACTCTGAATGCTATTATTTCCAGGGTACAGTAGTCTTCAGATGAATTTAAAACAATGCCAGTTTATTTATCTGATTAGCTCACCTTTGGTCATACATTAATATAAACAATTGGTCTGATGGCAATCTATTCTACTGAACCATTCAGTCTCATTAAGCAAAGGAGATTTCTCAAATTTAAAGGTTTGCTACTACAATCTTTGTCCTCTGTCTTCATAATAATTAGCAGATCTGACAGTATTAGACAAACTTAATTCAGTTAATTACTTATTTTTCATTCAAATCATTCTACAGAGAAACTGAAAAGTAGTAAACCTTAAAAGTAGTAAAAATTATTCACAACGGGTTTATCCTCTCCCATTAACTTATGATAAAATGTTAAGACAGTCATACTAATCTGTTCAGATCAGTTTGGATAGGGTAAAATGGTGATATTATAAAAGCGTCTTCAAAGCGCTCCATTTAGAAGACATGAGAATAACTATCTACAGGAGAGAAAATGACAAACTTTCAAACAGCACGTAATTAAGGTAGAAGTTTTCAATGTATGGTTTGCAGAACAGGATCATTTGGAGTTGAAGACAGCTGAAAACAAGTTACAGTACACACAATCTCTGTACGTTACTTGTGTAGGAGTAAAAGCATTATAATTTCTTCTGGAAGGGAGGAAAGAGGGCATTAAAACCTCATGTATTTTTTTAAAACTTGCCATTCTGACTGCTTCCGTAACTCTGCAAGCTGGTGGAGTCGCTTGAGTGCTTTTTCCTGTTTCTTCTCATCTTTCCATGACTTTGAAGCCACATTTCGAGCAAATTCCCTTTGTTTTAAATCTTTCAATCTCTGTGTGAAAAGAATATAAACAGAAGGGATTAGAGATGTACACACCAGATACAGTGCCTCTTACTCCATTTATTAACTTTTCATGAAGTTGGTATGTAAATGGAGAATAAAAGTATACTTAAAATAGTGTAATAGTGATAAGAGATTGAAAATGTTATTTTTGCTTACCAAAACAGCATAATTTGCCCTCTGCTATTTATCAGATAGATACCTACTTATGAATGACAGCCTTTTTGGTTTCTGATTAATACAAAAATGTTCTGTTGTGTACAAATACAGACACAAAACTAGAATCCATTTAGTGAGGTCAACATTTTCCTATTTGATTCATCCTGTTGCAATGTAATCCACAGACATGTACTGGAATAGCTCTGAGCTATAAAATATATGTATAATATATTTTATAGTTCTCTACTTGGACATGTATACACAGATGTGTGGGGGCTGATCTGTTTGTTTTGTACCTTTTAATGGCTGTATTATTTTCTCAAATGAGAGAACCAGTCTCTGAAATATTTGATGAGGAAACTGTTTTATATTTATTTTCACAATTTTTTTAATCACTTCACATATCTATAAACCAGGTAATTGCTGTTGGAGAAAGAAAAATTCTTTGCCTTTATTATATTTTTTTATTGCCTGATTTTACACTAAACATAAGGAAAATGAAGGAGAAGACATAAACTAGGAAGTGTCAACAGCATCCTCTGCAAAAACAGTTGTCTCTGAGTCCACTGTGCTCTCTAGGAGCCAGCAGGTCACATCTAACCTTACAACTCCCCAGTTTAGATTGATGCTTCTGTACTCTATGGCAGAAATGCTTTCCCTCTTCCCCACTGGGGGAAAAAATGTTTGCTAGCAGGGAAGGGGCTCTGGGGTATTCAGCCAGATGCCCAAACTGGAAGCTTTGAGAACCAGAACTGAAATCAAACTGCTGCATTCATTTGCCCCTTGGTCCAGAGGTGGCTGCATCCATCTGTGCAATTTAGAACTACTGTATCAACACCATGCAACGCTAAATTTTACATGGTGCTGTTTTTGCAAAGTAGATTTGAAGAAAGGTTTTGATATCTCCATCATTTTTAAACTGCTGCTTCTCTTTCAGCATCTAAGCCTACCTGACTGTCCACCAGCACCTAAAGATCAACATCCCAATCACTGCCATCATCTCATGCTGTTGTTTCACTCACTATAGCAGGGCCAGAAGATCAATATGCATCAGTAGGATGAACTGAAGGCTGACCAAGCATTGTAAAATCAAATACTGCTTTCTGCAGCTCAGGTATGGGGAGCAGTCTAGCCACTGCACAGAGCTGTACACTGGCCAACATGCATCTGCTTCTGAGAAAACAGACCTGGAGGCAAAGAATCCTCAACTTGCAGAGGTCAAGAAAATTATAAATGCATGACAGAACTGCTTTCTGGAGAGAGGTGTAGCTTTTGCCAATAGATTATGACAAAGCAAATGGGTGAAAACTACCATCTAAAGAGATGACAGGTTCTTTTTTGTCCAATAAAATGGAAGAATCCAGTTAGTGGCAAAGATATGATAGAGAGGCATGGAAAAACACTTGGTGGAAACAGACCATACAAGGTTTGTGATTTCTTTCTGGATAAAATGAAAGAATCCAGTTAGTGGTGAAGATATGATAGAGAGGCATGGAAAAACACTTGGTGGAAACAGACCATACAAGGTTTGTGATTTCTTTCTGTGAAGAATGCTGGAAAGCTGTAGTGAGCATCTCTCACCACCGTCACATCAGCTGTTCTTCAAGTATGGGATTTTTAAAAAAAATCAGATAACACCTGTAAAAGAAAAATAAGTGCTGGAAGACTAAGAGCAGAAGTTTTGTCACACCAGCTGTTCTTCAAGTATGGGATTTTTTTAAAAAAGTCAGATAACACCTGTAAAAGAAAAATAAGTGCTGGAAGACTAAGAGCAGAAGTTTTTGTTTGCTCTCAGCCTTTTGGACCCCAAGATATATGCCTTTCAGCACTGATCTGGAGACAAGGAGAGCTGGGCTGTCCACAAATAATCTGCTCAGGGAGCTTAAGATGGGTCTCTGGCTCTCAGTCATCCTTATAATTTTGCACAGACTCTCTCAGATGGGGATTAGAATGCCAGGAAGTTGCCTGAAGAACTGGTGCACCACCAACCAGCAAGATTCATCATGCTGCCTAGTGCCTGATGAAAGCTTAACCATTTCATTGGAACTATCTATAGTCTGTCAAATCTGTATATTTCTCCATAAAGTCTGTATCAGCCCAAACATTCAGTACTTCATGGAACTAGACTCTAAAACAGGACAGCTGTAAAGTCCTCTTTAAAGCTTTTAGGCTTCACCTTCTTGAAAAGCAGTGGTTGCTCCCTATATGTTTAGCTCTTAACTCTCCCTTCATGTGCCCTCTGTCATTATTCATTTGTCCCTTGCTAGGCCAGTCACATTGCACTCCATTCCCTCAACCTCACTGTCTGCAATTTACAGTCAAATGGATGAATATGTAAGATAATGTTACTTTTGGTTCAAGAAAAAACTTTTCAAATAATATATTAAAGCCCAAAGCTGAAAAAAGATATCAAAAAATCTTCCTAGAACAAATCCAAATGTTCTGTCACCTAGGTAATATTTACACAAGTGTAGAGATATTTAAGCTGTAAAGATCCTATTCTCCACAGAAAAACATAGGTAGTCTTGAGCCTTATTAACATGTCCAATGTGAAGAAAGGGCAAAGGAACACATTTGAGAAATGCACTTTAGGGCAGCTTGCTATGTTTTAGCTGTCACCGTGAGGTGTTCAGCATCACACATAAAGCATTCATGAGGAAAAACAGAAACAGTTTCTACCTGTCAAGGAAACAAAGAACAATGTGAAACCAAGAACTATGGAGCACACTACTGCAAAGCAATGCCATTTAATTTCTTTGACAGTTAGGATGATAATCAAAAAAGCAAATGGACCAACACTAAGAATAGGAGTATTTTTTGCTCCCTAATGGCATGCAGCATGTGTCAGAGAAGTAGAGAAAAGAAAAAGTAATGTGGGTAGGCATAGCAGAGAACCCATCAACTGGAGCTGAAATCCAAGAAATCAAAAGCTCTACAGTGTGAGGAGAGAAAGGGCTCTCCCTGCACATCCCCTCAGCAAAACAAAACAAAGCTGCACTGCCAGAGCTCTGGTTAGGAGTCATAATGAAATTTGTCAGCTATGTCGGATACATCATGCGACTGCCTGCTGAACCTGCAAAGCCCTGGTTTTCTTCACTAATAACCTGTGCCAGACTTCTGACAAGCACACAGATATTTTCCACAGGTGGGGTACAAGAGCAAGCAACTGAGCAGATATCTGAATGACAACCCCAAACTCAGTAGGTGTGCTTGAAATTTAACATTGCTTTACACAGCAGTCGCATTTTTCACGTAATTAGGTACTTAATTGGGCATCCAAATACAGGCACGTATAATAAAATATGATTTATTTAATAGCTTTCTTGTGTTCTGTCCTTCACCTGCTACAAATATAGTTGTCATGCAGTTATATTTCTTTTTTAGTCTAATTTTCTATTGTTTCTAAGTTTTTGTACATGTGTGCGGACATTTCCATATCTAAAAGTAAACCATCCCTTTTTTTATAAACACCCACAGAGAGTAATAGAAGACTACAAAATAATGTTCATTGTCATGGAAAAATTTACTCATAAAACTGCTCTGAGTCCCATTGTTTCTTCTGCCTAAGACTCAGTCAAAAACTGCTGAATCTATGCTTTTCCTCCTGGAACTCTGATATGAATCACCAGGAGATTTAAATGAGTTAATGGACCTGCATCTTCATCACCTACTTTTGCTAGACATCAAATAACAGTAATTTAGGTCAAATAACCTAGATCAAATACCTGTAATTTAACAATTTCTTCCCATTCTTCTTAATGTCTGGGGGGTTGTGGTTTGTTCTTTTTTAAATTGTCACTTTATTTGGGCCAGTACTTGCTTTGCACTGACCTATGAGCACCTGAATACTCACTGCTGGCTGCATTTGCAGTATTGAGTTTACTTTCTATCCAGAATTATGATCCTGGTTTCTATTTTTCCCTGTGCAGGTAAATGTTTACCTGGATTGCTATTCTTCTGATCAACTTCAGATGCCTTTCTTCATAACCATTGAAAAGAAATAAGCACTTTAGGGACCTAATCACCTGTTTTTAAAGCAGCTGTCTCAAACAAGAGGGATAAAGTGAAATGTAAAAGTACCTCCTTCTTTTCATTGTGTACAGAGGTTATTAAAGGTGTCTATCCTAATTTCTACAGGCTGTTCCTTTATGAAGGAGGCACAGCTGACCTCCCAGCTAAGGTGCCTTTACACCAATACACACAGCGTGGGCAGCAGACAAGGGGAGCTGGTTCCCACTGCTCTGCTAGAAAGCTAGGAGCAAATTGCCATCACTGCAACATGGTGAGAGGAACCGAGGGTTTTGGGTCAACAGGCCTGAGAAACTGCCCTCTGGGACAAGGAAGCAGAACCAAGCTAGCAGATCATGGAGGAAGTTACACAAATCCTTTGGTGTAAGAGGAAAGGAGAATGGCATGGCTGAATCAAGACCTGCTGGTCAAAATAAGAGGCAGGAAGGAAATGGAAAGGTAGTGAAAGCAGGGACAGATGTCCTGGGAAGAGTATAATGATGCTGCTCAACTGTGTAAGGACTGGTCAGGAAGGCCATGGTGCAGCTGGAACTGATCTTGGCAAAGGATGGAAAGAATAATAGGGAAAACAGGAATGCCAGCCAGAAAATTAAGGTTAAAAAAAGCATACTGACAAATAAAGAAAGTAAACTAGAGTGGTGAACGTGTAACAACAAATGAGGAGGAATTTGAGCTACTCATGTTTTGCCTCATTCTTAACTGGCAAGTGTCTCAATTTGAGGACCATAGCAGTATGGTACTGGGAGACAGTATAACTTCTCTTGAGTATTCTGCCAGGGGCTATGTCATTATATAGGTTTTAC